GATTTCACTTTTTCGCGAACATTGAATTCTGTAAGTTGAACTGTACACATACAGGAACGATCTTCCATTCATAGCGACAGGTTGTGCTTCGTCGTCACATTCAACCGGCTTTGAAATGGAAAGACAATTTTCATATTCCTTACTATTGACTGCTTCTTCACAAGTTCCCGAATTGGAAATTTTTGAGCAAAAACTGAGACAAGCAGATTGATATGGAACTCGAAAAGTGCTCAAAACATAGTAAGTGTTCCATGAAAAAAAGTTCGAGTATGGTGAAGAACAAGTGGTCGAAACTTGAGGAAGGTTAGAAGCAGTACAAGGGATAGTTGGAGCAGAAAGTGCAGGCTGATACTCAATGATCACAAAGACAGCAAGAACAACAAAAACAAAAATTTCGACCAGCAATAAGAAATAAAACACCCATGCCCTCACTATCATTGTTGTTCCGACTATAGTCTCCAAGGAGAGAGAAGTATTTTAAAAACGAGTATCATCATGAGAAAAGCCATTATGCCCATCAAAAAGTCGTCAATATCCATATGGTGAAAAAAGGATCGAATATCCGACCAACGTAAAAGAACATCGTCATCATCGTCGTCACCGTCATTTGTGTAGTCGTTCATTTTCTTTTTGGGTAGACGACATTCATCCGGAATCGCGTTTTCCAAAGTCACAGACAGACCGCGTTGATATCCGTAAATTGCCAAATCTTTAAACATCTCTTCATCTGCGAGCACGATCACTTTTTTTCCATCGATAACCATCGTTTTGGCTTCCGAACAATAATTGGAAAGTTGAGAACTGGAAATAGGAGCAGCTGTTTTCGTGTCGACGACATCGTATTTCTTCATCAAACGAAACAATCGTTCCATTTTAAAGAAAAAATGTGCTCTTTATCTCAGTTGGAAAATGGCGATTGTTTCCTCTTACTTTCTTCCATTTCCAATAAGGAAGCCAACCAAATCGTTTACTCTTCAGTTCTTCCATCATACTTTTCAACGGTGGATTTGGATTATCGAGGAACGACTCTTTTGGATGAACAAATGTTCAAAATTTGTCGATATTTCGAATCTGGTTGCAATTCTTATCTTTCATCGTATTGCTCGGAGTTTAATCGAAGTGAAATTGCAGTTTCTTTTCCTTTAACTCTTTTTTGCGGATGTATAAGTGACGAATGCAGTTCTCTTTGCCCGAAATACAAATCGCTCACCAATAGTGGCTGCAGTAGCTGCTACCTTGACTTGGCTGCTACTAAGTATGTTTTCCCACCGGTATGTCCAGGCTGCAAACAAAACTGTTCATGTACTCTTCAGCTCCCTTCGGATTACAAATCCAGCGTTAATTACAACGATTTCAAATATTTATTTTATGAAAAGTGCGATTTCAAGAAATCATCTTGCTATTCTGGAAATAAGCAAATTGAGTGTCCTTTGTTTTTCGCCACCAACTCTTGGCGAGCAAAAACAGCAACCATCGTTGTCGTGGTTTTCATAGGTCTATTTACTTCACTAGCAATTGTTGTTTATGGAAGGCACAAGTTTTACTCTCCCTGAAGTTCGAATGATTGGAAGGACTGTGTTTCTGTTAGAAGGCTACCATGACAAAGGAAATCTATTAGAATTTATTGCTTTTTGTGCTCGAGTTTCCAATCCAGAAAATCAGAAAAGAGGTGAAAATAACGAACGTCTAGTTCGTTATCTGTTGAAAAATGGCCATTGGAGCCCTTTTGAAATGGTTCATCTCGTCTTTGAAATTTCCACAACTCGAGAAGTGTCGAGACAAATTCTCCGCCATCGATCCTTTTCCTTTCAAGAACATTCTCAACGGTATGCCTCTCCCTTGGTGAAGTCAAGGGTTCAATCGACGGTTAACAGGCAAGGTTCCGATGTGAAACTGTCGGTTAGCCATGAAGTAGAACAAAAATGGCTGTTTTATCAGAACGCAGTTCGTGATTTGGCGGAAAACTGCTATTCTTGGGCGGTTAATAACAATATCGCCAAGGAAGTTGCTCGGAAAGTGCTCCCCGAAGGTCTTACTGTGACCAAACTTTACATGGCAGGTACTCTCCGAAGCTTCATTCACTATGTCCAGCTAAGAACGCAACGAGACACTCAACCTGAACACCGAGAAGTAGCAAAAAAAATAAGGGCGATTATTGAAAAAGACCTTGGGTTTCCATTTTCTATTCTTCTTGAAGATAGTCCGAAATAAACACTTTCTTTTGTGTTTTCTTCTTTTTTTTCGAATTTCTCAAGCCTTGCACATGAATTTCTTAGGCTCCTCGACTCTTCTTTCCGTTCCTGGAAGTCTTCCTTCTGCTACTAATTTCTGATAAGTAGGCCCTCCAACTACAATTGGGTAATTGGTCAATGGATTTTTGATGCATTCTCGTTCTCTCATTCTTCTTCCTCGATATTTACAAGGGAGTGTGGGACTATTCCTCAAAGTTTGAGCTAACGAAGCATCCATGGAAAGTTTCTTCCAAGAAGGTCCATCTACTAGAATAGGGTAGTTGGTGATGGGACTGCGGACACACACTCTTTCTTCACGAATTGATTGTTGAGGTCTTGCACAGGAAACGTTTTCTTGAAGCCATTCACGAAATCGTTCGGGGCTAGCGATTGGTTCTCGAGACCGAGCTTCGATACTTAAAGGACGTGCGGCTTCTTCTTCCATGGCGTAAACTTCTGCGGGAGTTGGAGATGTGCGACTTTGCCGATTTGAAAGACGACGAGACCTCATCATAGTTGCTTCACGACTCGGTGGACGTTCAGCTTCTTCTTCCATGATGTACTCTTCTGCAGGAGTTGGTAGCATTCGACTCTGCTTACTTGAAGAACGACGAGACCTCATCATAGTTGCTTCACGACTCGGTGGACGTTCAGCTTCTTCTTCCATGATGTACTCTTCTGCAGGAGTTGGGCGAGTTCGACTTTGCCGAGTTGAAAGGCGACGAGACCTCATCATAGTTGCTTCTCGACTCGGTGGACGTGCAGCTTCTTCTTCCATAATATACTCTTCTGCAGGAGTTGGGCGAGTTCGACTTTGCCGAGTTGAAAGGCGACGAGACCTCATCATAGTTGCTTCTCGACTCGGTGGACGCGCAGCTTCTTCTTCTTCTTCCGCCATCGCATATTCTTCTGCTGGTGTTAAGCTTCTTTGACGGGACAATCTAGTCAATTCTTCTCCAGGTGTAGTGACTCTGCGAAAAGATGGAGCATATTCCTCAGCAGGAGTAGCGAATCTGCTTTTCCTTCGTGAACCTACTGAAGGATCCGCGGATCGAGCTAAGCGCTCAAGCTCTCTTTCTGTCAAAGGCCTATTCATTCCAGCTTCTCGTTGTGCTTCTATTGCTTCTCTTTCTTCGTTTTCGTTCTCATCTCTTCCCTCTTCATTTGCGGAGGCTTCTTCTCCTCCCTCTTCTTCTTCTTCCGCCTCTTCCTCTTGTTCCTCTCGTCTTTCTTCCTCTTCCACGGCTTGTTCTACTGCTTCTTCCGCTTCTCTCGCCTCTTCTTCCAATGCTCTTTCTTCTTCTACGCTCGGAAGTTCGTTGTTCTCGTATGCAAATTCAGGCTCACCTCCTAAATATCTTGATGGTGCAGAGTAAAAGTCACCTTCCGTTCTTCTGCTTCTTCTCGATCTCGTTGCTAACCGTTCGCTTTGTGTTCTTCGTCTAGTTGACATTCTTTTTAATACAGGATTTTATTTTCTCGAAAATCTTAACCTGTCTAGTTGGTCGGAATCGAGAAGATCAATGGAAATACCACCTTCTTTAAGAAGTCGAGCTCCCACTTTGAGGCTTCTTAAGAGTTCGCAAC